TCTATGCGAGACATCCCTCAAACTTTTGCAAAAACCCTTTCATGGTGATGCAAGGCATTGAGCACACTCCTTTTCACGGCGAGCAAGCCACACCAATGGGATGCAGCCAGATTCAGAAAACATACCATCACATGGTCTCGCAGTCTGCGTATCTCCCCACAGGGGCGGGGATGGTTTTCACCAAGCTTTCGCGCAGCGCATTTCCTGAATTTCGGGCTAGAAGCAAGAAAACATCTGCCCGAAATCGCGCAGATTCGCAGCGCCAAAGCTTTGTGAACCTCTTTCCGTGTTTGTTTTCGGCGGCCAACGCGTTGGAGCACCACCAGCGTGAGGCCGACAGGCAAGTTGGCCTAAGCTGGCACGGTGCCCATCCGCGAACCTCTTCGAGACCTCTGTTGACCTCCGCAAGACCGAGGTCTCGCGGAGGTCTTGCAGAGGTCTCGCACTGCCACAATCCCACCAGCACACGGCCCAAAGCTCGGCCGTCTTCCAGCAGCGTTTGCACGGTATACTGCTCTCTCGGACTCGCTTCCAGCCGTGCCACCGACCCTTGATCCCTCGTGGTTAGAACCGAAGACCAGGAGTTTTCATGCAACTGCAAGTTACTACTCACCATCAACTGAAAAAGGGCTGCTGAGATTCTAGCTTCTGAGAAGTGCAACATACGGTCGGGCTTTGGTACTCCGAGTCGGGGGGCGCAGTCCCGCTTCACTCAAACACTGCGCGAAGAGCGAGGCGGCGAGGCCAGGAGCGCCTTGCCCATTTGTCAGCACAACGGCGGCGCCGTCCTGGCCAAATCTGATGGCTCTACGGTTACGCTTGGACATGTTCTTGGCTGTCCAGGGAATCGAACGTGACTTCTTTTACTTTTCTCGTCAAAACCCAAGGGACTCGAACCCATAACCGACTCACCAAATTTGGCTTGCCAAAGGCTAGTTGGGGCGGAAAGGCCTCCAAAGGCCGAGGCCCTCAAAATGATCCAGACCAATCGTGCAGTTTGTGGCCTGCCTTGTGGAAACGCGCTCCTTTTCCACAAATTTGCAGATTTTCAGGGGCCTGCTTTCTGGACTCCACCAAAACCATCATGGGTTGAAAGCTTAATTATGGAATCCTTACCTCGCGCCTCGCCTCGTTAGTTCCAATTCGATGCCTCGTACCTCGCTGAGCGGCAAGCAAACTGGCTGAGCACATTCACACAAATGTTCAGCTGAAAGGATCGTTCAGCAACAATGAGGGCAAAACAGGCCGGGCGAAAACAATGGTGCTTCAGGATTCCTGGTGGGGCAAAATTCGAAACTTGTCCCTGAAAAACGAATCGAATCACTAGGCTCACTCAAATTGAGAGCGCAATATCTAACCTTTGCGCGAATGTTTCTGAGTTTACCCCTCGCCTCCCAAAAAGCGCCCCAAAGGCAGTGTCAAGTAGAATTCCAGCAAAAGCTCAAGCTACACTTTCCCAGCATGGGGCAATCGCTGATCGAAAGGAAAGGATTGAGACAGCATGGAGATCCAAGGAATCCCTTGTGACCAGGTGCCAAGGGAGGTCTTTTCAAGCGTTGGTCTTTCATGGCGTCTTCTAGACATTGTAGAGAAATAGGCATGTCATACTGCCCCACAAATACGTTGCCTGCCAGGAAATGACAGCACGCTGGTACCGCAGTAGTCAATTTATCCTGAGATTCAGCAGGGAGCCCCGAAATCCTCCGTAGCCGAATCGCATGGGGGCAACCCTTGTGGGGACGTTCCTTTGTATTTTCAGGAACAAAGGTTGCTTCAATCGAACTCATTTTCAGGGACCACCCACCTCTTAGCTCTGACTCATGGTCATCCCTACACTCCTCCTTCCACCGAGCTTGCAGCTCCGAGCGGCTCAGGCGCCGCAAGAGGCGCCCCAGCGCCCAGCGCCCTGCCTTTCAAACTTTGGAGTGCAAGAGCGAGTCGCACAAGCGCGAAGCCCGGAATCATAAGATAACATGTTTGGAACGCCATTGGCGGCCTCTCTTGTTTCTGTTTTCTTGCTCGGATTGTTTGGCAGCTTTTTTGACCTGCAAAACCGTCCCCATGTTTGGCATAACTGTTTTTGTGCTCCCTGGAGGAAACACGTCAAACAACTCTGGCAAGAAGCGCTGGCTAGTGTCGCTTTTGCAGCATAAGCATGCTGGCACTGTTCCTTCACCGATCCTCTGTCTTTCGCAGTCATTGGGCTCCGCCTACGATGCGAGGTCTGTAAAATGCTAACGTCGGCATCCGGTGCGGGGTTCCCTGGTCGTGAACTCAGTACAGGCAGGCGAGAATTCCCAGGTGACTCAGAACACTGCACAGCAAGAAGCAGAAGCTGGCAGGAGGTTATTCATCAGGAGGTATTCAGCACGTTGAGGAACTTGAGATCGATGTGGCTTGCCTTCTTCCGGCTTTTTGTAGCCCCGGAACCGAGAGTTTTTGTCAATAGAGAGGGATGGCGAAACCTTGAGCACTCGGTGCCCAACTGCGTTAAACAAGTTGACTGGGAAAATCACTATTTTTCCTAGCTCGTCAGCTCGTCAGCTCGTCAGCTAGTCTATTGGGGGCTCTGCCACGCCTGCCCGAAAATGGTTGCCATCGGGGGCCGTTGGGCGGAGCGAGCCCGAGCCCGGCCTCCTGGGCCCGAGCTGACGGGACGTTTAGGATCTGCGCCACTGGCGACAGATCCAGGCCTGAGACTCCCGGACTCCCCATTGGGCCGAATCAATTTCACGGATCTATTTAGTACGGTTTTGGAGGAACAAACAATGAAGGTAAGTTAAGTGGCTCAGCTAAGGCTCCAAAAGTGAATGAGACACTGAGCATGTCCGAAATGGCCGGTTTCCACCAAACTGATCTTCCCGAAGGTGTAGCGTCTGGCAACAGCGTGGCTCAGAAGCTACTCGCTTGTCAGGACTCTCAGCAGTACATGACCCACAAGCAGCTTGAAACTCAGTGAAGCGCTAACCCAATCACACCAATGGTTAGACACAGCACAGTGTTTCAGTGCTCATCACAGTGGCCTGAAACCATGCAAGCCAAGGCGGCCTTCGGTGTCCGGCGTTTTTTTTGACTCAGCTGACCCTCGAACATAAACTCAACGAAACCACACCTCTTAGACTCTTTGCTCTTGTGTGATTGGGCGCACATCTGGCTTGGAGCAAACCTCGATCGAGAATGTGTAGCACTCCTTGGCATCTTGGTGGATGTGTTTCTTCATGACATCCTTCAACCCGGCTTGAACATGTGGGCAACAAATTTTGTGGAGGCAAAAAATATACAACACAGGATGGTTCTCAGAAAGGAGACATGGCTACTGGTTGAGTCCCCATTTTACCCAGCCGCCTTTTTGTATTTGCAGAAGGCCAAGCAGCCCAGCGGGCCAAGCGCGCGCATTTGCCGCCCGTGCCCGCTCTCTGACTTGGTCTCCATGGCACATGGCTGATTTGGGTGTGTCCTTCGTTGGCAAACCCCATAAGACCAAAGGCTTGCCGCCTTCTGGTGAAACCCAAGCGGTTTCCAGGCAATCCTATGGAGCCGGAGTCAAAGGCACACCATAAGCGGAGTCAGCAATGTTTTTTGGGAAAGCTTTAGATGTTCCTGTTGATCGGACAAACTTGGTTGCTTTCCAATGCCAGTGACCGCTCGCCATACCGAAAAAGCAAAACCAAAGGCTGCGCTCCGTGGGAACCACTCGACAAACCAAAAAAATGCAGGACAAGTTGGTGGTCTTTATGGGGACATCAACGTCCAAAGAAGCGAAAGGGCAACCAACGGATGGTGTGGGTCTTGCCTCTCGGGCTGTTTCTCCATATTCCGCCATGATTGACCACATCCATTGACCACATTGGCCAGCGGTCCAAGATGCAAATCAATCGGAGAGCAAGGATGGCAAGGCTGGTTTTGGGCAAAGCTGGCGGTGACGGCAACTCAGCAGTGTTGCACCTCCAAACCTGGAACTTAAAAAGGGAAACCTCACGAACTAGCCGGATTGATCCGGCCGGAACCCCCATTGGGCTAGGGTCCTGGACAGGGCATCCTCGGTTCTTTCTCTCAGGTCTAAGCTAGGGACACTTTCGGGGATCCATTGCAAACGTGCGTCGTAGGGCGTCCTAGGTGGCCGTCATTTTAACAACCACTCGCCACATTTACTTGGAGAATTCACGTTTTTTTTTGTTTGTTGCTCGCCCAGGCCAAAAAATAACCCACAAGCCACAAGCTTGGCACAGCTGACTTTGTGCCGTGGCAACAAGTGCTGTCTGTTTCTGCCCAACAAAAATGGCAATGCTTCTAGTGACGCGTGAGCGGCTGGTATGAAAATGATTCTGAGATTGGCAGATTGGACACAGTGCCAACCACTATTGAGGGCTTGATGCTTACGCCAAGCATCAGAAACAACCAAGTGTTTGATGGCACTGAGGATTTGAGGTCACCTGAGCTTCGTTCGACGGGACCACGGAAACGGCCTCACAAAACAACCTCCATCCACAAAGCTTGGCGATCTGTTTCCAGACTTCAGCAAGTGAGCTTCATACCTCTTTTTGCCATTTCCACCCTCTCGCCATTTCGACTTTGCCAACATGGGGATGTCAAAATTAAACGAGGCGAATTTAGAACCAACATGAAACCGCTGCAGTGCCGCAGTATGGAGGGGTTCAACTAGTTCTGAAACCTTTCGAGGATGCCAAGGGCATGTTTTCCGGGGTTCAGGTAAGCTAAGAGCCACTTGCCAAAAAACCTCCCCCCCTCTTCCCCCCCCCCCCCCCAATCTTCTGGGAAAGTTCAACATCTACAAGATCCCTACTCAGCCCTTCTAGACGGTCCGAAAGGGGTCTCAAACCGGATTCTTGGGCAAAGTGTGATGTAGAGAACGTGTTGGGCATGTCAATGACACTCAGTGCAAAGTCTGTAAGCACAAGGCCTTGATCCACGTCGCATGTGGGATTGTCATGCGACTTTCAGACAACAACCCCTCCGCCCCCCCTCCCCCCCCAAAGCGCCTTGTCCCTTCGTCTCAGGGCCATGCCCTGCAAGTGCCGCAGCCCGAGCAGCAGCGCCAGGCACCTGCGAAAAGAATCCTTCCACGGCTTTGTGCCAGCCCTTCACGGCTTGAACTGGATAAGGAGTGCTGCAAGTAAGCCATGAGGTATAGGGAAGACCTTGTCCCTTAGCTTGAAATACACCTCGTTTACAGGATATTAAGGAGTTGTAGGAGAATGTACTGCCCCAAAGGCACTGGTTTACAGGAAACTCATCCTGAAGCAAGAGAAAAAGCACTGGCCAACTGATAGACACCTCCCGTCACCTCCCTCTGTTGACGCATGGCACTTCTGAGCAACCCCCACTGCGTCCTGAACAGAAAGCCTTGCATGGCAACGGGAGCCCGTGGGTTTGACCATTCTTGGCAACCAATTGCTTGGGAAGCAATTGCATGGCACTGAAAAACATTTCAAGCAAAGCCTTAAGGAAATGTCCACTGGACTGGGAAACAGTGGCCCAAGGCTTCCCAGGGCGTTGACTGGACTCATAACTGGGAAACCGGAACTAAACCGTCTTCCCGCATCTGAGCATTCAGGATCTGGCTTACCCAAATGGGCAACAATCGCAAGGCAACAAAAGACGGGCAGAAAGGCAGAAGGCAGCGAGGGATCAACTGGGCAATGTCCTTTGAGCTCGTATCCAGCAAGGAATGCGGGCACCAAGGAAAGCTGGACATGAAGCCTTTCAGTGAGCTGCTGAAGGTCAACAAAAGGCACCGGACGCAGCAAGCCATTTTCTCTCTGAGACAACGCGCTTATCCCTGACTCGGATTGCTTTCCTGAAGAGAGCTCGGCGGAAGCAGTTTGAGATTCTTTTTGGGGCTTCCAAAGGCTTCGGTCAGGGTTAAAGCGCATGCTGGGTGACAACAGGGCTGCTTTAACTTTTGCGAGAGAAAACAAGCGCCCGCACAGTCTTGTGAATCTGCTCTTGCACAGCACGGAGCAGAAGGCTTTATGGGCAGTCATGCCCCCAAGAACTGAAATCTTGTCAACAGCTGCATGCACGAACCTCCTAAGAATGCGATGTTGAGCCTCAGTTCATGGGTTTATAAGCCATTTATTCTGAGAACTGCATGCATGCTAGCGCTCGGGCCACTAATCACACACACACACACACACTCACGCCCGCACGCACGCACGCACGCACGCACACAACGCATGGCCTTTTCAGATCTTGCTGCTTTGGACAAAGGGCACAGTACCCTGAACAAATCAAATAAACTTGCAACAGGAAGGCAACATGTGTTCCGGTTGCGCGATGTTGAGTGGAGTACAAGCTCCGTACCCCAAAACCTATTGCAATCAATGAATCAACGCAAAGCTTGATTTCTCACCCTGATCTGTCTGCCACCCGCAAGGCGCTGTGAAAACGGTAGTTCCTTCGCTCGACTGCAGAGGCGAAGCCTGCCGATCTAGTTTCAGCAGCCTGGACCCGCGATGGACAAAGTTCACCAGTCAAAGAAGCACAAACCAGAGCTGAAAAAAATGGGTTGCCATGACCATGGACCAACGCCGGTAGAGCAGAATGTCAGATTCGGACGATTCTCCTTTGACAGAAGAAAAGATATCCAAGGACAGAGAAGTTGGGATGAACACCCCAGGTGGCAAGAAATCCTGCGCTGGCTGAAAAGGCATCACTCTCCGCTCCCCGTTTCCATCATGAGAAGCCGGCGGACTTCGAGCTCGCCAATTCCAAAGTCGTGCAGGATGCAACATATGTCGAAAGTAAGAACCCCATGGCTCATGTGGAAACACCCTGAAGCCGTGTGATGCAGCAGTGAGAAACTGAAAAAGAAGAAGACATAGTGTAACGTGTGCACCTTCAGTTTGTTGGCAGGGTGAGCAACAACATGTTTGACGCTCAGTGGATGGTGTGCGAGCTTGCTTGAAGTTAAAACCGCGGCAACTTGGTCAAGCCGAACCATGCAAAGGGCAAGGAGGCACCTGGCCATGTTTGGGGTTCAGTACCTTTTGCATGGGAAAGTGTAGATGCCCACTGTACATCAAAGGTCAACCAGCGATGTACAAAATTAGGGCTGAAAGCTAGGGCGACCAAGGGAACCCAACGATCAAAAAGGCTACTCTATGGGCGCCTCTGGGATTCCGTGTGTTGATTCTTCCGAAGGAAACAAAACTCGTGCTTGACAAAGGCTATCTCAGCGCGATTAGTTGCTTAGCCTTGGCCGTCGCCGTATTCAAGTCAGGAAAGCCGCGCGTTTGTTTTGGAGACACTTGAAAACACTGCGACGAGCCGGTTTTTGGGCGTTCGCCCATCGTCGACCAGGCAGGAGAACTCATTGGCAAACTCGTTTCGCCTCGAGAGGCACAAACCTGGCCGTCTATGACGTGAGTCGGTCCTGAGACTGACTATTTGGTTGGGCACGGACTCAGCGGCGGCCCCTCAGTTGTGGGTTGACTGACAAAAAATAGGAGTTTCTTGATTGAATGACCAGCTACAATGATCAGATCAGTCTCCCTCAACTTAGTGGTCTGGATTGGTGGTTTGGAGGTTGCGGGGGCCTTGTCGTGGAAGAAACCAGGTGCTAAAAGGCTAAAGCCTCCAAATTACTAACCCAAACCGCCAAACCCCAACATCATGCTCGCCAACTCAGAGAGCGACGCGATTTCCATGTTTGGGAGGCTTCAAGTTGCTGACCAAACTAGCCAGGGAACAAACAACCGAATAGAAGCCGAACCCGAATGCACATTCGCTTGCCAAAAGGTGCATTCGCTACGAGTTCGGGAAAAAGTGTCCAAAGCTCAGGTAGCTGGGACCCTTCCAAATGGCTTCATTCGGTGTTGTTCTTCGATCATTCCACACTGTGCAAGCACCGTTTGCCGGTCGTTTCAAAAAGAGAAACAAGCTAGAGGCGTCCTTCTTTAGCTCGCGCAGAACACCTTCAACGGTGGAAATGCCGGCCATAATTACTGAGGGCGCCTATCGAGGAGCACCGGCCTTGCTGCGAGCGGCGAGTTTTCTATACACCAGTAGAGCACATAAAACACAGCTTGGCCCAGCTTGGCCCAGCTTGGCTTCTCTCGCATTCTGGTCTGCGAGTCTGCCAGCCTGCGAGCCTGTGCGGGCTGAGCGCGAGAGGGGTTGCTTTGCGATGCACAAAGCCGCCAAGAGGAGCGCCTCCAGACCGTCAGTTGGCGTACTGGGATAGGCGATGCCAGGGATCCAGGACAATATATCATCAGCCACAAGTCGTTTCAACCTTCGCATGAGCAAAACCCTGGAAAATCCGGGAAGCTGAGAGACCTATGGGTCATGTTTTTTCATTTAAGCTCGCAGATTCCAAGTAGTCAACAACATACTCGTTGCGGCGGCATGCGCAGTAGGCGGTGGCCCCTGTTGAGAGAAGATCAAGGCCTCTAGTCAAACGACATGTTCTCTGGAGGGCCACGTATTCCCAATTGAAAGAACAAAACATTCGCGGGATAAACCCCGCCCCGTTCGAACTATGGGCTTTGAAACAAGCATTGTTCCAGCCCGCGTCCTTTCGACGTTAAATTTCGGCAACTGCTTCAACGTGTTTAAATCAGTGCAATTGAAACCAAATCGGACGTATAGCGCTCATTTTGAAGTGGCCGATTGCAACTGCCTGAGCAAAGTGGTTTTGCCCCATCCTGTCTCGCCCCTCAAGGGCAAAGACCTCCTGGCGAGCGCGAGGCGGCATGTCAGAGGTCCACTTCCAAGAAGCTGCAGTCAACAAAACCATGTAAAATGACAAAAATACTAGACCACGGTTGGCCCGAAAGCATCACAGCCCCGTGACCATTCTGCGCAAGTTCTCTGGGCAAGGTGCTTTGCGCAAACTGGTCTGTGCAAGTTGCTCTGCGCAAGTTGCTCTGCGCAAGCTGCTCTGCGCAAGTTGCTCTGTGCAAGTTGCCCCGTGAAGTTGCTCTGCGCAAGTTGCTTTGTGCAAGCTGCTCTGTGCAAGAAGGTCTGCGCAACTGACTCTGTGCAAATGTCTCTGTACAAGTTGCTCCGTGCAAGTTGTTCAGTCTGTGCAAGTTGCTCTGCGCAAGTCGCCCTGCGCAAGTTGCTCTGCGCAAGTTGCTCTGTCAAAGTTGCTCTGCGCAAAATTGCTCTGCGCAAGCTGCTCTGTGCAAGTTGCTCTGTGCAAGTTGCTCTGCGCAAGTTGCTTTGTGCAAGTTGCTCTGCGCAAGTTGCTTTGTGCAAGTTGCTCTGCAAGAAGCTCTGTGCAACTGACTCTGTGCAAATGTCTCTGTACAAGTTGCTCTGTGCAAATTGCTCCGTGCAAGTTGCTCCCTGCAAGTTGCTCTGCGCAAGCTGCTCTGTGCAAGTTGCTCTGCGTAAGTTGCTCTGCGCAAGTTGCTCTGGCGCTCTGCGCAAACTGGTCTGTGCAAATTGCTCTGCGCAAGTTGCTCTGCGCAAACTGGTCTGTGCAACTTGCTCTGCGCAAGTTGCTCTGCGCAAGTTGCTTTATGCAAGTTGCTCCGTGCAGCTTGCGAAGCCCGCCCGCGGACCAGGGGGGGAAGCGAACCCGCGACCCCGCCGGTCCCGGGAGCAGGCGCGCGAACCACGAGACAACTCCGAGGACCAGCTCAAACAAAAAAAGTCGCAAAAAACCTCGAGTTTTTGCACCTCGACCACGCCGATCCCCGCAGAGGGTCGCGCGGGCCAAAACAAAATCGCAAAAAACCTCGAGTTTTTGCGCCTCGACCACGCCGATCCCCGCAGAGGGTCGCGCGGGCCAAAACAAAATCGTAAAAAACCTCGAGTTTTTGCACCTCGACCACGCCGATCCCCGCAGAGGGCCAAATCAAAATCGTAAAAAACCTCGAGTCTTTGCACCTCGACCACGCCGATCCCCGCAGAGGGCCTCCCTGCGCTTGCAACTTGCACTTGACTCCATGCACTTGCAACTTGCACTTGGCTCCATGCACTTGCAACTTGCACTTGACTCCTTGCACTTGCAACTTGCACTTGACTCCATGCACTTGGCTCCTTGCAACTTGCAATGACTCTTATGACTCCTTGCAATGACTCCTTGCAAT